ATATTGAGTTGTGTGGAAGTTGGGGCCTAAGTCCTAAGGGCCCTTCCACACAGCCACAATACCAAGGCAGAAAATCCCACAATATCTGCTTTGCACTGGGTTATCTGCATCTACACTGACATATATTCCAGTTCAAAACAGATAATTAGGGATTATATTGAGTTGTGTGGAAGTTGGGGCCTAAGTCCTAAGGGCCCTTCCACACAGCCACAATACCAAGGCAGAAAATCCCACAATATCTGCTTTGCACTGGGTTATCTGCATCTACACTGACATATATTCCAGTTCAAAACAGATAATTAGGGATTATATTGAGTTGTGTGGAAGTTGGGGCCTAAGTCCTAAGGGCCCTTCCACACAGCCACAATACCAAGGCAGAAAATCCCACAATATCTGCTTTGCACTGGGTTATCTGCATCTACACTGACATATATTCCAGTTCAAAACAGATAATTAGGGATTATATTGAGTTGTGTGGAAGTTGGGGCCTAAGTCTGTCTTCAAAGGGTCCTTCCTCACAGTCATATAACCCACAATATCAAGGCAGAAAATCTCACAATATCTACTTTGAACTGGGTTATCTGAGTCCACACTGACTCATATTGCAGTTCAAAGTAGATAATATGGGATTTTATCCAGCTGTGTGGGAGTTGGGGCCTAAGTGTGTCTCCTAAGGGCCCTTCCACACAGCCTTATAACCCACAATACCAAGGCAGAAAATCCCACAATATCTGCTTTGCACTGGGAGTCCACACTGACATAGATTCCAGTTCTAAGTAGATAATTAGGGATTATATTGAGTTGTGTGGAAGTTGGGGCCTAAGTCTGTCTTCAAAGGGTCCTTCCTCACAGCCATATAACCCACAATATCAAGGCAGAAAATCCCACAATATGAATTGGATTATCTGAGTTCACACTGAAATATATACCAGTTCAAAGCAGAAAATGTGGGATTATATTCAGATGTGTGAAAGGGGCCTAAGCCTCAAAACAAACCTTCCCTTACAGTAGTTCGAGGCTGACTGACTAACCCTTTTCCTCACTCAAAAAAACCCTTATTTTTTGTCTATCCCAATCTGTTTCCAAATGAGAAAAATGTAAAGGCAAGCAATGGAGTTGTATTGTTCTTCCTCTCTGTGTATCTACACGAGGGGGAAAAAATAGCAGGATAAAACCTGAGGCAGTGATGGTGGACTGAGGAGAGAGGGTAATAAACACTTTCTTGAACACTTTCAGAGGAGAGAGGGTAATAAACACCCTTCACTCACTGACCATTATAATGATCCACACTTTTTGGGTTGCTGTGAGTTTTCTGGGGTGTATGGCCATATTCCAGAAGCATTCTCTCCTGACGTTTCACCCACATCTATGGTAGGCATCCTCAGAGGTTGTGAGGTCTGTTGGAAACTAGGAAAATGGGATTTATACATCTGTGGAAATGTCCAGGGTGGGAGAAAGAACTCTTTTTTTGTTTGAGGTAGGTGTGAATGTTGCAGCTGGCCACCTTGATTAGCATTGAATGGCATTGTAGCATCAAAGTCTGGCTCTTCCTGCTTGGGGGGAATCCTTCATTGGGGAGTGTTAGCTGGCCCTGATTGTTTCTTGTCTGGAATTCCCCCCCCCCCTTTTTTTTTATTAATTGCCCTAATTTTAGAGTTTTTTAATACTGGTAGCCATATTTTGTTCATTTTCATGGTTTTCTCCTTTCTGTTGAAATTGTCCACATGCTTGTGGATTTCAATGGCTTCTCTGTGTAGTCTGACATGGTGGTTGTTGGAGTGGTCTAGCATTTCTGTGTTCTCAAATAATATGCTGTGTCCAGGTTGGTTCATCAGGTGCTCTGCTATGGCTGACTTCTCTGATTGAATTAGTCTGGAGTGCCTTTCATGTTGCATGATTTGTGTTTGGGCAATGCTGTGTTTGGTGAACAAATGCTACGTTCAGCAAAGGACAAGAGGGATCATCTCCCCTCTGCAGAAGTCTACCATATACCATACAGCTGCGGACAAGTCTGACATAGGGACTCAATGTGAGGAACGACAAAAATCTTGTAACAGTTTCTTCCTGTAGAGATGTTCAATGTATTGTCGAAGGCTTTCATGGTCAGAATCACTGGGTTGTTGTGTTTTCTCCAGGCTGTATGGCCATGTTCCAGAAGCATTCTCTCCTGACGTTTTGCCGGCATCTATGGTAGGCATCCTCAGAGGTTATGACCTCACAACCTCTGAGGATGCCTGCCATAGATGCAGGCGAAACGTCAGGAGAGAATGCTTCTGGAACATGGCCATACAGCCCGAAAAACCTACAACAACCCAGTGTGTTAACTGGGGCCCCTTACAGAGAGAGGTCAACCCTCCTGTTCAAGGAGCTCCACTGGCTGCCGTTTATATTCCGAGCTCAATTTAAGGTGCAGGTGCTTACCTACAAAGCCCTGAACGGTTTGGGACCAGCTTACCTGCGTGACCGCATTTCCATCTACGAACCCACACGCTCACTTCGGTCATCTGGAGAAGCCCTGCTCATGATCCCACCTGCGTCGCAAGCGCGCTTGGTGGGGACACGGGACAGGGCCTTTTCCGTGGTGGCCCCCAGACTCTGGAACACCATCCCCAAAGACCTTAGACAGGCCCCCACACTGGCAGTCTTCAGAAAGAACTTGAAGACTTGGCTTTTCCGATGCGCCTTCCCAGACTAGGAAATCTCCACTACCAAGTCCCATAAGCACCTTATCAAAACCAATGACTGCTGCACATCGCACTTGCCCTTGAAGCCTCATATACACCTCCTGTCACATCAGCACTTTTAATTCTTGTACCCATTACTTTGGCCTGGCCCAGTTTTTATTGTGTTTTAGTGTATTGCTTTTGCCTGTTGTTTATTTGCTTTATCCTGTTTTTAATTGTTTGATTTGCCTAGTTTGTATTGCTATGTTGTGTGTTGAGGCCTCGGCCTGTGTAAGCCGCATCGAATCCTTCGGGAGATGCTAGCGGGGTACAAATAAAGTTTAATAATAATAATAAAATAATAATAATAATAATTTTAAAAAATTGAAAACAAAATATACTGTTAGTCATTGAATATTAAAAAATTGAAAATGTATTAATTTTTATACAAACTTTAAAATCCCAATCCCACCAACTTTAAGAGCCAAAACTCTGCACTTTATAAATACATTATATAATGTATTTTAACTACGAATGAAAGGTGAGCAGGGATGGAGCCACTATGACTTCTCTAAGGAAGGTGTTCAAAAGTCTGTATTAAACACAAAGACCCTTTTCCTTTATTTTCACAAAACAAACTGGAAAGAGGGATGGGACAGAGAGAAGAGCCTCTCTAGATGGTCATAGAGCTCTAGTGGGCTCATAAAGAGAGATATGGTCATTCAAATAACCTGGACCAAGCCAGCTTTGGCAAGTCTGTATAAATAAACTGACATGCAGGCTTGGAGAAGAAGGTAAGAACAAGATGGGACAATATAAGAAGACAGAAGATTGATTCAAATGCCGGATTATTTATTTATTTATTTATTATTTATTTATCGTGTCAGGAGCAACCAGACATTGGTATAACATTTTTACAACAAACAAACAGACAGACAAAACACAAAGTTTGCAAGCTTGGTAGTTGATTAAATGTCCTTTGACCAGTAGCTGGCCACGGAGTGCCTCTGGTGTTGCCACAAGGAGGTCCTCCATTGTGCATGTAGCAGGGCTCAGGTTGCATTGCAGCAGGTGGTCAGTGGTTTGCTCTTCTCCACACTCGCATGTCGTGGATTCCACTTTGTAGCCCCATTTCTTAAGATTGGCTCTGCATCTCTGTGGTGCCAGAGCGCAGTCTGTTCAGCGCCTTCCAAGTCGCCCAGTCTTCTGTGTGCCCAGGGGGGAGTCTCTCATTTGGTATCAGCCATTGATTGAGGTTCTGGGTTTGAGCCTGCCACTTTTGGACTCTCGCTTGCTGGGGTGTTCCAGCGAGTATCTCTGTAGATCTTAGAAAACTATTTCTTGATTTAAGTTGTTGACTTGCTGGCTGATACCCAAACAGGGGATGAGCTGGAGATGTCACTGCCTTGGTCCTTTCACTATTGGCTGCTACTTCCCCGCGGATGTCAGGTGGTGCAATACCGGCTAAGCAGTGTAATTTCTCCAGTGGTGTAGGGCGTAGGCAACCCGTGATAATGCGACATGTCTCATTAAGAGCCACATCCACTGTTTTAGTGTGGTGAGATGTGTTCCACACTGGGCATGCATACTCAGCAGCAGAGTAGCACAGCGCAAGGGCAGATGTCTTCACTGTGTCTGGTTGTGATCCCCAGGTTGTGCCAGTCAGCTTTCGTATGATATTGTTTCTAGCACCCACCTTTTGCTTGATATTCAGGCAGTGTTTTTGTAGGTAAGAGCACGATCCAGAGTGACTCCCAGGTATTTGGGTGCGCTGCAACACTCCAGTGGGATTCCTTCCCAGGTAATCCTCAGAGCTCGGGATGCTTGTCCGTTCTTAAGGTGAAAAGCACATGTCTGTGTTTTAGATGGATTAGGGATCAGCTGGTTTTCCCTGTAATAGGCAGTAAGAGCACCTAGAGCTTCGGAGAGCTTCTGTTCTACCATCTCAAAGCCAGATGACAAGAACCTACTGTATCTTGGAATAGAAGTAGATGGAATTTCTTTATATGTTAGAGAATACATATAACAATACCCTCCCCTTCCATATCCCCAGCAATACAATAGACACCTGTGTAGATATAAATTACTAACCAAAACTCCACAACCTATATATCATACTTTTATTTATCTCTCATCTTTTTTTCCTTCCCCCTCTATCCTTTTTGTTATAAAACTGTAAAAATGAAATAAAATTTTGTGAAGCAGAAAGAAATTAAGCAGCTTTGGCTTTATTGTTTCCTATAACCTAAAGCTTAAAAGAAAAGCTAAACAAGTGATCTTTTAACGATTTATTTCATTTAAAACCAGGTTTTACGCACTGAATAAAGAATAAGGTGCTTTTTTCTATTTAAAAATATTTAATAGTTTTGAGAGCGTTAAACAGCCGATATTTTTCTTTTTTGACACTCACACATTATAACATTCTGAAGTCAATTACATAATATATCAATAACATAGAGGAAAAGAAAGCATGTATTTTACAGCACATGTGCACTGGAAATCACATCTCTTCATTATAAAATATTTTTTCTATTTTACCTAAAACCTTCTTAATGTCATGATTTCTTTCATAAACATCTCCTTGAATCCCTTTCCCCACCCCTTTGATTTTTTTGTGATGTATCTTGAAAAAAAAATAGGGGAATCACCAGACCTCATCCCAGTTTTTGAAATGTAATACTTGATATGAGAAATAACTCTGGATCATGCTAATACACTTATGCCATTAAAACAATACAATGTATTGACAAATCTTCAGGCGAGGCACTTTTGTTGCTCAATATACAATACTTGTATAAATAATAATTACAATGAATCCCTTTCACTTGATAATAGCCCTATTTTTAAAATTAGGAATACAATTTACTAGATTGCTATTTACACATTGATCGACAAAAGGCATTACATTGGCATCAGAAACTAGAATCACCAGCAGAATAATACAGCAATAGGGTGTGTTCATTTCAATTATTCATTGAGAAAGTATTCTATAGTTGATTCTATACTATATTTAAATTATAGGCAATAGACATCTAAACTGGTAAAATAACACCAAAGGCTACAATCCTGCCACTTTTGTGCTTAAAGAGTAAGTTCCATGGCACTGCAATAGATGTGCAGTTGAGCTATCATGCCTGTCCTATGAAGCTATTACTATTCCCAAAGCTGTCAGGTAATTCATCTCAATAGCAGGTTTACTTCTATGTTCCTAGAAGTACCTAGAAGCCGACTCTTTCTCAGTTCCTCCTGGCTGGCATGAATTGACTAGTTGCAACGGGGACCAAATGGTACAACTGTGACAAGTATCAACTAATCTAGGGGAAATTTGCAATGCAGTGATGTGAAAGCCAATCCATATCCACCTACTAAGGATGAAGGATTATAGCCAAAACAGGTATGTTTACTGTTCAAAGAACAGGACGAAAAGATGAAGCTACTGATTATTTAATCAGTAGCTTCATCTTTTTGTCCTATTCTTTGAAGATCAGTAGCTCACCAAAAGTCTTGGGATGAAGGGATACAGCTAATAGAATCATAATATCCTCAAATTATATTTAGCTGGCAATGGCCACTGCAATAAATGCAGCTATGCTTCATTCAATAACCCTTTTTATAAAAAGGATAATTCACTCAGGAGGTATCACTTATGGGTTACATCCTTTACCCCCTTTCAAAGTTCAGTAGCATGGTCATAACATAGAATTACAAGGGCTATAATGGGTGGGAACACTTCTGTTCATGCCCAGGACACAATTCTCAAGACACTTCTGAAACAAAGATTTCACATGCTCATTACATGTTGAGGTAGACTGATTCACAAACAAAATTCTTCTACACCTTCATTCGTTCATGGCAGACTTCTTTTTGGATCCTCCTCCTTGGAAAAATCTTTCGCTTGATGGCTATTAGCTGAAAAATGAAAGAACAAATAATCTTTATTTCCCAATTACTACTTTGTGTGAACAAGCACACTGCTCCATTCTGTCTCACTTTGTCTCAGGAATCCAATGGACATTACAGCCCCTTCAGCGATGAATAATTTCTCCTCCCGAAAGCAGAACAGATTCCCAACTTTTATTGGAAAAAATGGCTAATTCAGGCCTGATTTTTTTTTAAAAAAAAAAACTCTTGAATTAAGATATACACATATCCTAAAGCAGGGTTCTATAAATATTTGTTTCTCCTAAGAGTCATAAGGTAAAGGGGTCAAAGTATTAGGCTGACAGTCATATAGCCAGCCTTAAGGGGTATACATAATGAGCCAGCTGTCTTAGAAAGTTGAGAAGGACAGAGATGTTTAAAGAATGTGCTCCACTAAGAACATGGTCTCCATCCCTGTCTGCTGCCCTCATATGCAGTGGAAGATCCTTTTCCATCATGAATGGTGAAGAACACTAGTGTTCTTGGTTAGATCAACAAAGTGATTTGTAGCCAACATCATGAACTCCAGCCTTTTGGACAGAGAATATACAAACAAGAAACATGCGAGCACAAAAATGTGTACAGAAGACACTGCCTTAGCTACAGAGCAGCTTCAGAGTTTGAATCCAGTGCCAAAGATTTAAAGAACTGTAGGCAGTCACTGTTCCTCTCAAAATTGTAATGTCTTTTAAGATCCCTCCAAATGGTTTACCCAACTCTCACAATTCCTTATCATTGGCCATGCTGATTTGGACCCCTAGAAATCAAATGTCTGAACATCCTAGAGGACCAAGAACTCCCCACCTAGTTCAAGCTTTCGCTCTCACTACAGTCATCTTTGCACCCATTACTTTTTAATTACTTCTCTTGAGCTCATTTCAGAGACTTGGTATTTTCATGATAACACATCTAGGTCATGCAAATATATTGGGAAACTAATTTTGACTTAATATTACCATATTTTCTACAAACCCTTTACTAGGACTTCCCATGCTATATACTTCAGCTTTTTAAATGATAAAAGATTTTAATATTTACAAGGTTTACATATGTACACCATTATAGCTTTTACCTGCTCAGCAAAAAATGAGGTGATGGTGAACACAATCAATGTCACTAATACACAGTGTGTCCAAAACTTCAGCTTGTCCCTGTAGGCCCTCCTAAACACAGTAGGAAAGAAACACATAACAATGTTGAAATTAAATATCTTATACAGCAATACTGAACTCTTTTCTCCAATCTGCATATATTCAAAACAGTAGAAGAGGGAGTTATCAACAGGTTTGGAAAAAAACTCAGAAGTATGTAGAAGTAAAAAAGATTATAGGAGAAAAGAAATTAAGACAGAATGAATATGTTTTGATGGACAAACAATATTGAATGTTGTGTGGAAGGATAAAATGGAGCTTCCTAGAAAAGCGCATGTCTGGCTGGCTGAAATTGAAAAGGAAATTTTCTTTTAAAAATATTTTTTATTATTTTTATTTTATTTTAAGAACATTTCAATAATTTATTGCAAGACGAAGCAAGGAGGAAAAATGCAAAAGTAGGGGGATGGTGGTGAACTGGAAACAGGAGGAAAGAAAAGTATCACCACATCCTTCCTTAGATTTTTCCCTCAGCAGTGAGTGGAGGCAAGAATGGCAATTTGCTCTTTTGCTAATTAAAATCTTAAATAACCAATCAACAGGAAGCATACATAAGCTACTAAACTTAGAGTAGGGGGCATTCCTGCAAGCCACCCTTCTGGTAAGATGCTATAATATCTCAATTTTTCTCCCTGTCAAAATGGCAATAAGAGATGCTTATAACTTCCAGATACCATTATGGGAGGGGCCACAGATGAAAAAAGAGGTATTGAGATGAGATGGAGAATCCTTGGGAGGGGCTGTGTGCATGTTTTTTGATATTTTCATGCTGCCAGGGAACTGCATAGTTTTCAGTCAAAGCTTCACCAGAGTTTGTGTCAATTTGCTGAAAATATCAAAACATGAGAGAAGCAGATGTGGAAAACACAAAAGTGGGGTCCAGGGCTGCTTGTAGCGTATGGACTGCATTTTTTTTACCTCGACTTAAAATACGATTTTATCTAAAATATAGTGTCACACATTTTAATTAAGATAAATGAGACATCATAACATAAAATGCCTAATTAATATGAATCTAAAAACAGTGATAAGCACTATAACAATTTTTTTTTGCTTTGTCCAGGTAGTGGATTATTACTGTACCACAATACAGTTCACTTATCTTTAAAAACAAGTAACTTTAGCAAGCGTGTGTTAAGTATTAAAATTAAACTCAGACTACTCAATGAGGAAGAAAGATTTCTTTATGTTTTGCACAGGAGGTTTAATTCTAGATTCCCATACAATAAAACATATTTCAAGGCCCTAAAAGACTTACCATTCCTGAAGTTCCTGTGTGTGAAGAAAACGATTCCGATATTCCCTTGGCAGCTCAAACTGAGATGGGATGGGAAACATTGATTCATAAAAATCCCTAAGCACGGCTTTCACTGTTTGAGCATCCTTATGATTGTGATCAATGTTGTCATTAAGACAAACAAATTTTCTGGAAAAAAGCCAAAAACTAATTGAGATGCCAATCATTTTGACAAGATGCAATATGGTTAAAAAGTGTTTTATTAGATTTACAGGCATCTTAGGGGAACTCGCAGAATATTAAGCTAGAGCTGCTAGTTCTTATTGCTAAAGTGTTAATGCAGTAAATGTTATAACACAATTATAGTTGCAATTTAGCAACATCCAAATTATTATAGCTATCTTATAATACAGATAATTCTGGTGTTGTAATTTATGGTTAGCATCCTGTTGGTTACTCCCAACTAGAGTAGACCCATTCCATCAATTGCTAAATGGTGAGTCACTGCATAGCTAGATCTGATTGATAATGCACCTGATCTAATCAGAACTACAAGTTTTCCATCTATATGTAATTCATATATTTATATATATTCATATATTTCCATAATACAGAACACTAAACCAGAATTGCTAGGACTTTTTGGTAACATGTTAAACCAGTCAATGTTATAATACAATTTTCAGTCCAGCAATATCTGATGGGCTATAAAATTTCCATAGATATCATATAACTTGGAAGGTAACTCTTATGTATGTATTACTTAATAAATAATATGTATGTATTTTCACATCATTATTGCCATTCTCAATATTAATGTATGGCCTGTGGTAACAACTGGGATTCATTATAAAAAGAAAAACTAGTTGTATAAGCAGTTGTAATACTTTCTATAGAATAATATTTGAGGTAATCTCCACACTGAATAAACATTAGAGCATACCTAGGATTTTTCCGTATGTCGTCAAGTTGTCCAACGACATGAGAAACATTGGTACGAATCATTTTAAAGGCAACCTCCTCCTCTCCCATAATTTCAAACCTCGTTGTCAGAAGAAAAGGCAAGACAAAAGCAATAACATAAATAGTATGAATACGCACTTGACAGCAATAGAATGCCATGTATTAATATGAGCTTGTACTATCAATCCCTAGTTATTATGTTTAATTTGTTTACTTATTAAAGAAAGCACTGCCTTACAACAATAAGACTTCCATACAAAAAAATCTGCTTTACTTTATTATGCCACTATTATTTGTATTCAAAGATGAAAAAGGACGTTGGAAAATATATTGGAGAAATTTGTCTTAGTGCCACGTGGTGCAGTCTCCAGTTTCTTCTTGTGAGCCTGATGAACATGTATGCAAGCAGAATGCAGGTCATTATGGGAAATTGGGCTCCCTATCCACAGATTCTGTATCCATGGATTTAAGCATACACAAAAAATATTTTTTCAAAAAATTGCAAAAGAAAATCTTGATTTCTTGATATAAAGTACATGATCTTACCATGTCTGTATAAAAATGACACTTGAGCACCCATGGATTTTGTCATCCGTAGGAGCTTCTTGAGTCAAACCCAGGCAGATACCAAGAGCACTTGGAATAAAATTTACCTGCCAGTGACATCTAGTAAGAATTTTTTAATTTAAAATCAAATCATACCCTTATTAACCTTGCGTCTAATACTATTCCTGCTATTGGTACAACCCTTTTTCTTGTTAGTTCCATGAAACCAGAAATAATATTCTTGGGCATGCTGCATGGCTCCATCCCAGTCTTACTAAGTATCTCAATATTTGAATGGTTATTTGCATGGTTTTTTATTGTCTTTACTAAAGCGACACAGATAATTATTTAACTATCATATTTTAAACAGAAATAATTCTTACTTCTATCCATGTCATGTTTCAAATATTAGATATCTAGCAAATATTTCACAATGTATCTTTTCAATAGTTTAGATAGTTTGATATATGTTTGATAACTTTACTCAAGCACTAAATAAAAATTGATACCTGTATTTGTTTTTGTCCTTATACGTTTTACGAATTCTTTCAGTTACAAGCTTACAGTTGGTTAACAGGTTTTTAGTCACTGGAGGCTGAAATGATACAAACAATAATTGGAGTTATGTATTTTTAATGAATACAGTCTTTCGGTATTTTAAATGGAAAAATTCTACAGAGAATTTATTTTCTTGCTCCATAAACCGATGTTTATTGCTACTGAGCTATTGCAAATCCTCTGAAATGCAATACTTATATTATAGGGGAGAAAATATCTTTTGTAATTATTCTCTGAAAGTTGTAAAATGTAAATGTAACAAGCAGCAGCAGAGCAAAAATGCTTTGGCATGAGCCAACAATGCCAAACAGAAATATATGGCAAGCAAGTCCTGAACAGCTGGTGTAGATTAGTATTATTATTTCTAACTTAACTTAACCCCTACAGGCAATATTCACAAACAATTCTAAGAAACAAAACACCCTTATTCTCAAGTGAAGTCTTTTATAGGTTTAGGCTTGTTCCTGGAAATCTAGCAACTGATATAGTTCAAAAATAAATTAAGGTACAATGATAGAAATGAAAACTATTGTGGTGCCATTTAAGCAGGCTGTTAATTAAATAATATAGCAGCTGAAAGAAAAGTTCACCAATGCACTTTTTCCGAGGATAAAATATCTGAAAATAGACTACCTAACAAGAAAGGCTTGGATGTCTCACAGTAACTAAGCTGTCATATACCAGCCACTTCCTTAAAAGGTAGTACCTTTCAAATCTGTGGGACTGTGACTTCCTTCAACCACAGCTAACATAGATAGCCATTGGCTATGCTGGGGGTAATGGAAATTATAATCCATCACACTAGAGGAGATTAGATTGTGGAAAGCTAATTTATACATTTCCCATTTTCTATTTTTAGCCGTCTGTCTTTCAACTATAACATTTCAAATTGTTAGTCACCAGGAATAGGGCCCTGTCCTTTTCTTCTTTGGAAAGCTCCATGAACATATGTGACATTTTAGAAGTAAAAGAACCCATTAAGCTCATTTCTCCCAGTTCAAATGTAAAAATCAACCCCCCATCATGGAAAACTCTGAAAATATTTAAGTAGTCACATTTCTAAGTGTTCCTGGAAGAGTGTGGGCACCTGACCTTTGATCTATAGTTACTCTATGCCCGATGGCCAATTACTTTTGAAATGAATAGGGCATTCAAAGGTTATATTTGATATACTAAGAATAAGGTCTACTATTCAATGCATTAATAAATAAAATCATTACACATATAATGAACATATTGAATTTAGATTTTTAAAATATATTTTTACTAATATGAACTATTAATAGATACAACATACAATTTTGCAGATTATTTATACATATAAGGAAAATTAAAGAATGTAGTTCCTTACCAGATTGGGATCATAATATGCTTCCTGAGTTGGTGGTATAATATTAATCTGCGTAATATTGACAGGAAGGGATTTAGAACAATTTATTAACATTTGCTCCAGGCCTGTCAGATCCTAATAAAGGAGAAAGGAGAGGAAAAACATTATATTAGTTTCTTCAGTGCCCTGAAAGTTAGCAATCTTTAAAGATTAAATATCACATTCTCAGCACACTTGTTTCTAAATGTTTGTTTTGCTATGCTGGAATTCTGTTGGCAAATACTCTTCTAACAATTATTGACTTTGGTTAGATACTGAAGATAGCCGGCAGGGCCACAGCATATAGGTCAGGGGCAGGGAATAAAATCATATAGCCCCTGAGGGCCATCTTCAAGATTTCCAGGGATCCACACTCCAATGAGGGCGAATCACTAAAAATGGGTGAATGTTGCCAAGGTTTGTAATTTTAGGCCCAACAAAAATCTTTTTTTTAAAGTAGAAAGTGATAACGAAGTTCTCTTCCAGTTGACTTCTATGTCTAAAATGGTTGGGCCAGGGTGGCAAAGGGGGTATTTATTTGAAAACAAGTTAAAAACAAAGGTGTAGTAGCAGGAACAATGTGTCACACCCCCAAGAGTCAATGGGGTCCTCATAACTCTAGAGCAGTGGTTCTCAACCTGTGGGTCCCCAGATGTTTTTGGTTTCCAATTCCCAGAAATCCTAACAGCTGGTAAACTGGCTGGGATTTCTGGGAGTTATAGGCTAAAACACCTGGGGACCCACAGGTTGATAACCACTGCTCTAGAGGTTGTCTATCCATTATATTATTGTTCTACAAAAAGTACAGGAACATTCAGCCCTCCAGATGTTGATATGGTACTTCATTACTGCTTAGAGGTGATGAAAAAATGAATCTAAATAAAATTTGGAGGGACACATCTAAAAGTTTGAGTTTTTTCTGCTCTGTGGTCATAGCAAGTGCAGAGTATATGGTTAAAATACTTGTATTACAGCACTGGACGAACAAATCCATCACTGAATATGCAACATGTGTAATGTGTTGCTGAAGGCTTTCACAGAGGGAATCACTGGGTTGCTGTGAGTTTTTCAGGCTGTATGGCCATGTTCCATCTGCATTCTCTCCTGACATTTTGCCTGCATCTGTGGGCTGGCTGTTCAGAACTTCTGTTGGCACTGAGGCAAACCATACATGCAGGCAAAACATCAGGAGAGCATGCAGCTGGAACATGGCCATACAGCCCAAAAAACTCAAAGCAACCCAGTATCTTCAATGCCTTTCTTTAAAAAGTTACCTGCAAACTTAAAGGGAGTTCATGAATTCTTGTGGCCAGTGTACGTATCTCTCGATCAGATAAAATTCCAGATTGATCTGTATCAACTTCATCAAAAACCTGGGAGATATTAAGTGGCTGAACAGCACTCATGAGATAGTAGAAATATGAAAAGGCAAACTGCATATCTTCGGAGTGGCGTACTTTGTGAAATGAGGTCTTGTCAAACTCCTCAGGAAATCTGTCAAGAACAAATGGTTACTTTAACTGATTTCATATACATTTGAAGAATTTTGTCCAAACAGGGCAAAAGAGATGGGCAACTGCTAGAGATTGGGAGGTATCCACTAGCACCTTGGATAGGCTGCGTCTTCCATTTCCACCACCTGCTGAATCTCTGTGCCTTAAAACCTCCCAGGCCATTTTGCTGGAGGCAAACTCACCTCAACATTTTTAGGCCTATTTTTTTTTCAAAAAAGAGGTGAGCATCTGATCTAAAATCGACCTGAAAATGTGAAGTCACCCCCTAAAAGATAAAACATTTTTAAACTATCAAAATTTCTCAAAATTATGAGAAAAAAGCTCAAAAAGGCAAACAATTTTGGTGCAGATACATATTTTTCAAACCTACAAAGGAATGGGACAGGCTAACCTAAAGCAGAAAGGTATACAACAGATTCTTCTATTGCCTATTCCATATGTGCTGTTTGTGAAACCTATTTTACAAATTAGATAAACACCTAGGCCCAAGGATCCAAGTAGGCAACATACGATATCCCAAGCAAAAGGAACAATGTTTGACTCACAAATCTTGTAATTCTTGCATGACTTTTCGATCGATCATGTGAGGCATATGAGCAGGAACTTTCCGGGATGTGAATCCAAACTTGCTGTTCAAAAGCTTGTTTACATATCTGAGAGAGTCAGCAAATGTATCCTTCAGCTGCCTCCCAATCTGTTTACTATCTGTAAAATAGGCCATCTCCTTCTTTAACGCCTCTTCCTCCTGGAAAGCAGGAATATATGTGTATATATATGTATATATACCTCATGTCTACATTAGCAAGCGAACAATAAAATTGACTAAAATGACCCACATACATTTTTAACTGAATGTCAGGACAAGCCTGGCAAAAATCATTTTATACTTTCCTAGATCAAATGATTATTTCATTCAATCTACTGGAGGCCTGACCTTATGGGTTGTTCTACTACAAAATGTTCTGACAGCAGAAAACATGAGAAATAAAGGAAATACAACCAAATAAGCACCAGAATCAGCAAGTAAAGGGCCTGCTCAAAACCCTCAACTCTTGACACATTTCTAGTTATATTGGATACTCACTTCAAGAAGATCTTGGAAATATTTGTGTTTCTCCCATGGCAAAAAGCCTCGATAATTTCCAGTGTAATACTGCAATTTTCTTCCTGGTAAGACTTGACTTTCTGCTACATCTTCCTTAGCAAGTGATGGATCAATATTAACATTGTCTTTCTTTTTTTCTGTAGCTCTTCCTTTCCTCATTTCTTTGGACTTCTGAGCCTCTTTCTGTATGATGGTGTTCAAGGTTTTCTCTGAATATTCGGGCTTTTCAACAATGTCTTTAATTACAGGAGCAGATCTTACTGTGGAACTGTCTCTTAGTGGGAAATGACTGTTTACTTTCATTGCCACAATAGCATTACCTGCAGGAGCAAATTCTGGAGGAAACTTTCTATGAAAATTTCCTCCCATTTCGAGTTTGGCATTGTCAAAATGCCCAATTGCAGACTTATTCCCATTTATCAAGCCATCATATCTTTCATTTTTCTGCATCTTCTGGGAATTATTTTTTGCTTCCTTTGTTGCTACAGGCATTATCTGGAAAGGCCTCAAGATAGCAGCCTTGGACCGATTATACCCTTTCTGGGTAATGTCACCAACAATGAGCTGTAACTCCAGATCCTGCAGAGATAATTTCACATTTTCTGGGAGGTCAGACATATTTACTGGTTGAATTATCATGTCTTCGTCCATGCTCTCAAATGTGCCATTTGGGTGTTTTTTAATTTTTGGAAAACGTTCTTCTTCGGGAACATCCTCAAATATAATTTCAGCTTCTGGCACTGAAGTTGTAGCTTTCACATCACCTTCGGGTTTCTGGGTAGAAGTTGTATTTGTTTTTGGTTCCTCTCTTGTCTCCACTTCTAGGGTTATCTGCATCTTAAACTCTTCGTCATCTTTATTTTGAAATGTAAGGTTGAAATAGAGTACAGTTGCATTCATTCCACTATGCATTATTAAGTGGATTGTCTTCCATTTGTTTGCAATGGAAGCATGCCGTATAATTGGATTATCACTATATGCACCTTCCAGTCCTTTCTTGGCTATGTCAGCAAAGCTGAAATAAGGTAGATATTCACCTTTGGGAATCACATAATGGGTCTGATTCTTTTGAAGAGTCACTTTGTAAAGCTCATTAAAGTGATCTGGAATACAAGAGAAGTTTTTTTTAAGTGTTTCCATTATCATTGTCTATTTATTTATTTGATTTATATCCTGCTTTGTTCCGAAATGGAACTAAGGCCCCTTCTACACTGCCCCTATATCCCAGGATCTGATCCCAGATTATCTGCTTTAAACTGGATTGTATGAGTCTGAACTGCCAGACAATCTGGAATAAGCAGAAAATCTGGGATCTGATCCTGGGATATAGGGGCAGTATGGAAGAGGCCTAAGAGTGGCTTTCAAATGTAACACTTAGAATGCAGGTAATCACTACTCTCATTTTCGTGCACATACACTAACGTTTTTAACATTTTGGGTCAAGGTTTTTTGTCCTTCAGAATGCCCCACTGCTGTAGCCTGCAACCCTGAATGAGAGCAGGCTTTTGCAGGAATAATAATAATAATAATAATAATAGTAATAATAACAACACTTAAAAATACTTCTAAATGGGGAAAGCCATAGCACTCCTCCACCCTACGTGATCTCCAAAACTTCCAAAACCCTCAAGAATTCACAATAGTCAAAAGTGAAGCTGAAAATGATACAACTGCATTTCCAGTTTTGGGCAGTAAAAAAGCACTGTATATACACAAAATTGGCAGAGGTTCCCACCCTTGGCCTCCCTTCTATTGGATTAATCTGTACCTGATGTCCTGAGTTTAACACAACTCAATGTGGACAGAATACATATGAAGCAAACAAATTGTACTAACAGAACCAGATGAATGACTCCACAAAATATACATCAAAAGGTATTGATAATTAAAGGGCCAACCTCACTTATGTAGCATTAACATACCTTGTCCACAGTCGCCAGCATCAAATCCACATGGAAGGACATTGCATGCCTGGTCACAGAATTTATCAGCTAGCCATGAATTAGCACAGCCTTGGTTACAGTATGAAACTCCACTTATTCCTCCACCAAACTGCCAAGGCTGGACATTCCCAACACCTCCTCCTGCTCCACCGCCAGCACCAAAACGGCTCCCCACACTATTACCTAGAAGGAAAAAAAAAAGGAAAACAGTGCCCTCAAATGTATACTGCAACTTTTTGAATCTCAAGGCAATAAAAGCAGAAGAGAAAAAAATGTTGGTCAGCTAAAAACTTGTTTTCTTAAGTCTGAGCATAGTCATTACTTGATTAAATATTCTGATAACCCTAGGAAAGTTTATGTACAAATCACAAAAGTCTATACCCACACAATGTGATTGCTACAAGAAACTAATACAAAAATGATCCCAATTTGCTACATATGTATGTCACAAATGACAGCACTCATTTTCCTCATTCCACCCAGAAAAAAGTGTCATCTAACCTGAATGCAGACTGCAGACATCTGCAGTGACATACAATTGTGTTGCAGGAATGCTTGTGAAAATAACACAAGGGTGATAAAAAAAATCTATCCCATTAGTGATCCAAGAATTTAGCAAGAAAGGATTCTAAAATACAATATTCTTCATACCCATAAAACAATCTACCACCACTCTCCGTAATGTCCAGTACTCAATATGGATACCTTCTTACCAGTGCAATCGCCTCCATCCCAATCACAAGCAGAATTGTTACAGGCTTTATCACAGTAGCCATCTTTAATCCATGAACCAGGACATCCTTCGGCACAGTTTGGCACAGGCCAAGTCAAATAAACCTGACAACCAGAAGGAAAGGAAGAGAAATCAGATAAATCATTTCATTCTCAAAATGACTATTTGTGCATTTTTAGTATTTCACTGAAGCTCTAAAAAAGTAGATTTGCCACTGTATCGATGCCCCTTGGTGTCTCTTCAACTCTAAGATTCCTGCCAAACCAGCCTTGCATGTATTTCTAAACATTGTGGTGGCGCAATGGGTTAAACCCTTGTGGCAAGTGAGCTCCCATTTGTCAGCCCCAGCTTCCCAGTATATTCTCAATTCGCCTCTGACATTTTAAAAAACACATGAAAACAAAAATAGCAGGAAATACTTCCAAAGGTATAAAATGGAAGGGTTTGTCAGCAAATGACCTTAAGTTCATGTGTGCCAGAATACTATCCTTTCAAAGTTATTTTCAGAACTTTAAAATGTTACCTTTTAAAATTACAATTCAACAAAATTCTATACATCAAACATTTTTGCAAACAGCTTACCTTTTGACCTTTGGAGTGACTATAGAAATCATCAGGCCAAACATCCTTCCCAAACATCACATCATCATTTAAATAAATAAACTTCTGAGACAGACCTGCAATACGGTGAATGTGGCTTTCAATAGCAGGGGAACTAAAGGTGGGAAGGTGACTCACGTTCTGAAATATATCCTAAACATTTAAAAAATCATACACATATATATGCATTAGAAACCATTTCAAAACTCTCCCCATACATGTTTTAGGCATTACTTTGAAATTCTCCTCTTTATTTTTCAAATACCGTGTGTGCATGCAATAATTAAAGCATGTTTATGTACAAAATAATCTAGGACAAATAAGATAATTATACATATAAAACAACAACATGGAAAAATCAACACTGGTTCTTCTAGAACAGGAGTGGGAATAATCTGAGCTGCAGATTATTCTTAAACACCATACTGGAGTACTCAATATGGTGTTTAAGATTCATAACAATATCCATAAATATCATGGAGCCATTTCCACCGTTGGTTGGAATAATCTCCTTGCCATTTGTTTCATTGCTATGGGAAATGAGGATGTTAACTGGGGAGTAGGGAGATGGAAGTTATAAGGATGTGCCAGAGTATGATTAGTACTCTGGAATGTAAATGGCCTTTAGAAGTACCAGCTTCAACGACAAGAGGAGGTATAAAGAAAAAGGGGTTTGTTGACTCATCAGAATGAGCTTTCTCTTATTATTGAGAAGGTTGCATAAAGATTGTTTCCAGTAAACTTTACTTATAAGCAGCCCTTTGTTCTGGGGCCTACCAAGAGCTAACATTAAGACAATTCTCATTGGAAGACTCGTCGCTCACAAGGTAGTGAGGGAAACTGCAGAAGGATACTGGGGAAATTGGTTAGTGTGGTTCTACAAGATCCAGAACATGACCATTCCTGTTTAAGGACATATTCAGCCCAGTAAATGGCAAATAATCCAACAATACTTCAAATAAGCAGCAAGCACACAATGATCAATTCTAGCTCCACACATGGATTCACTTAATATTTGCAAGATAGTGCCAGCTACAGGTTTCAAATCAGAGATATCCAATTAACCAGAATTTAAAACATATCTTGAAGGGCTGCCAATTATGATGTGGAATGCAAGTACCAAAAGGCGACTAAAATGATCAATGGTCTGGGGACCATGCTCTATGAGAAGCGTCTTAAAGAACTGGTTATGTCTAGCCTGAAGAAGCGAAGGTTGAGAGGACACATGATAGCTATGTATAAATATGTGAAAGGATGTCATAAGGGAGCAGATTTGTTCTCTGCTGCCCTTAAAACTAGGACTAGGAGTAATGGGTTCAAATTACAGGAAGGAAGATTTCATCTAAACATTAGGAAGAACTTCCTGACCGTATGAGATGTTCAACAGTGGAACTCTCTGTCTCGGTCTGTGGTGGAAGCTGCTTCCTTGGAAACTTTTAAACAGAGGCTGGGTGGCCATTTGTCAGTGAGACTTTGATTTTCCTGCATGGCAGGAGTTTGGACTAGATGGCCCAAGTGGTCTCTCCACCTCTATTATTCTATGATTCTATAATACTAACCATTCTATGTGTCAATTTAGATGACATCATCAACTGTGGCTTAACAAATAAACAATTTCAAATTACACTTATGCATGCTGGCTTGTTTTTTAAACTAAACAAGGCTAGTGCTGACAACATTATTGTTTATCAGTCCAAATGACACTTTATTGGTCCAGATCACATAGTAAATCCACAGTTAAACAAATGAATGTTTCCAAACTCTTTCTGGAGGGGAAAAGGGGAAGTGGATCATACAAACTTGAACTCATAATGGCTCAGTCTTACTGGTTCATGTCATGCTAACCTATGACTATAAGCACAGTTTACAAATACTTCTATTGTCTTCTCTATTCAAATCTGGTATTAATATTAGAAAGATTTTAAATCGTTTTATCCAAGGATAGAATTGACATGTTAGATTTTTTTTACCTGATGTGTTACTATTGTTAACCGAGGGTTATCCAAATTGAGCCAGGAAGGTATCTGTCCATTAGTGACTATGAAGATATGGCGTACCCAAGGTGCATGCCTCTCTATTGATCGTAAGGAGTATCGCAGCTCCTCATTGTCTTCAAAACGGCTGGCTGAAATGTCTTCATCCTGTTTTGACTGTTAAGGAGTGGTACATACTATGCTTATATATCATTGGTAAAATAGTGGTGGACACATTTAAGTTTTCCCATTATTATGAAACACAGAGAGCTACTCTGCTGTTTTTTTCATCCAGACAGAGTTTGGGTGAAAAGATACAATGACAAGGTAATTTTTGTCAGGTTGGGATGATAATCCAGAAATATATTTGCTATCTCCCCAAGACTGCCCGATTTTCGCAAATAAAACAAAGTGATGTGATAAGTTTGGGCAAATGTAAGCAAGCTATCACAATCAATTCCATCTTTCTTTTTGAAGTCACTGGGTATTACAGATGAAAGGAATTGATTATCCAACACATTATTTCTGCAACCCATTCTCTTCATAGCATTCAATTGACTTGATGCATCCTTGGGGAAGGTCATGCAGACATTTCCAGGAGCTAAAATTCTTCAAAAATAGAATCTCCATCCCAGGAATCACATTTTCCAATCATCATGGTGGCACCATTCCCAGAGCATATTTTCAAGGGATGAACTGTCACAAGAACTGTCATGGAAAATAATGCATTTTGGAAATGGAAATCCAAAGGATCTATCAATAGCTCCTGTTCCTCTCAAAGAGCCGTAGTAAAGGGCTACTTAATCCTCTGAAAGCAGATGAGCCAGCAAAACATTTAGCTGATAGGACTTCCACTCATGGAAATAAAGCAAATTCAGCAAGGTCATACGAAATCAGTGACTAAAGAGACATGTGCCTGTGTGTGTGTGTATATTATATATGGCTGGGTTTGCCCATAACAGAAGGAAAGATCGTGTTTTTCTGAATACTAGTTGTTGAAAGCATTTCCAGTCACAAAACATGGTTTGTTGACCAAACACAATTACAATTGAGTTGGTTTACAGACTATAATCTAAACTGAACTATGATTCTCAGCTACAATAGATCCACTGAATTAAATGGTGAAAGGTAAGATGATACTTGCCTAAATCCCACTGATTCAAAAGTCTACTGAAGTTGCGACTGCTAAATGGATTTAGGTCAAAGGCTGCCCTAAACCTTGGCTTGACATTTCATCTCATCCCAGAACTGTGACTTATCCCTTGCTGGTTTTTAAAGCTGCTCAACCAAATACAGGAGTTGATAAAATGGTTAAGAAATAAATACCAGAAATGGGAGGAACAAAATGTCATTTGTTTGGTAGCTGCAGGATAGTTCATGTGCAGCAAACCATACTTAACATAAATCATGGGCTTAACACAGAATGTAAATACAGTCCACGTCAACTGAATCAATTTTGAGCCGCATTTTACACTGCATGAAAGGTAGTTTTGAAATCATTGTAAATTGACCTACATCACAACATAAAATGCACCTCTAATGAAATCATTTTTAAAAAAATCTCACAAATGCTACAACAACTATTTACTAATAACACGAGGATATTGCCTACCTGACTGATGGAACTGAGATCCCATAATAAATAAGCAGGATTAAGTGTCAGTTCTTTCCCCTCTATAGTCATGTTCTTCTTAGCTTGCTGGTTCAGTTCTTGGAAACCCTTCGGATTATTCAGTTGCAGGAGAGCTACGCCAGCTTCCGAATAAAGCTGTAACTACATTGAGAAACACTCTTTGAAACCTGACATGTAACATCTATTGAGATCATCTTCCCCATCTTCCAAGTGACCTACCATTATAATGATAAGGGTCAAGTGGGAGTGCAGAAACATCAATTAAAAAAACTGTTGCGACGTAAAGCATGGACAGTATCAATAAAGAGTGCACCAAAGACCCATGCGGGCCATAAATCACCAGTCAACATGAAGGCACATACACAACATCAGTGGTGGCAATGATCACTCTCTTCATCGTGTATACTCAGCTTAATATCCTGGTGTGATTAAATCATATTTTCCACTATGCACGAACTATAAAAGTTGTAGCAAACCTTCCAGCTAGAACTACAAATCACTGTTTGATCCAAGTTTACAATTCTAATTTGTTTTAACCATAGTTTCTTAATTCAGATGTAATGTCAAACTATGATTTGATTGTGCCAGGAAGTTAGCCAATGTGCCAGACAAAGGAGGAAAAGAAAGATCAGGGTGAAAGAATATTGAACACAAAGAAAAATGTTTGTTTCTGACTGAAAATGGACTGGAAGACCAAGCAAGTTTTGCCTAAATAGAGCTAGCTTCTTGGAATTTTTTACACTATAGTTTATATAATCAAGTACTATTGTTTATTGGTTCTTTTTTAAATGAAAAAAACAACCAAAAAGCTTTATGATCCCATTAGTATTTCAAAATATGAACAGCATTTACAATAACATTATTTGAATACACTATACAGTATCTTGAAATGAAATTTAAAACATTTGTTTAGTTATATATTCACCAATATGTTTTCAAGACGGCTTAAAGGACTGAGAAATTTGAGATACAAAGAGGCTCCAGAATGAATCCATTTGTGGGTCTTCTCCACATCATCAGCCAAGACTTCCAATCCACTGCTAAGGTCATTTGTTACTGGGGAACTGTTTGATCTGCTTGCTATTTTTATCACTTGCCACCAGTTATTCTAGGTTTCAGCTTTCATAATAGGCAAGATGAAAAGAAGTTTGAGCTAGGCTACACCCAACAATAAACGTGGCTTGCAAAAAACAAGAATGACTACATTTAAGAAAATTAATTTATTAACCTTCAAGGTTTGCCATTTTTAATTTTGGCATATATATAGCACTCTTAAGAACATATAAAATTCCCTCTTCTCTTTAGGAAGATCATTTGCTGAAATACATGCACAGTAATTAGCAGTGAGCGGGGGTGGGGAACCAAAAAGAACGTGCTAAACTTATGCTCATAGCTCTCTGCTGTTTGCTGTAGTCATTTCTTTCATGGTTTCTCTACTCTGTTGTATCATCCAAGCCAGTTGGCATCTCCTGGTGAATATAAGAGTATCATGACACCAGGTAACTAATCAAATCTGGCAATATGAATACATTAAGGAAAGCCATTTAAAGCCAAACACCACTCTCATTCAGACAGATATTTGCAGAGTCAGAAAGAAGTTCCTAACTGAGTTGTTGTAGGTTTTTCCGGGCTATATATGGCCATGTTCTAGAGGCATTTTCTCCTGATGTTTCGCCTGCATCTATGGCAAGCATCCTCAGAGGTAGTGAGGTCTGTTGGAAGTAGGAAAATGGGTTTATATATCTGTGGAATGACCCGGGTGGGGCAAAGGACTCCTGTCTGCTGGAGCCAGGTGTGAATGTTTCAAGTTCCTAACTGCTGAAATAAACTGGGGCAAAATATACTGTGTTAATGGCTTTTATGTTTGCCATCACAAGACAAAGCAGCACTTGTGTTATTGCCTCGGTAATTTGAGATATACAGTATTCCACTTGTCCCCCCCATTCAACTGGCAAATCAATTCTATTTACTCCCAAACCACAATTCTGCCACAGCCTTCAGAACATCTCTGGATAAGGTGCTTTTTTAAAAACAGATTTCCTCCACGTTACACAATCATAGCACTATATTCCACTTTAATTTTCATCACAATGTCTTCTGTAATAATTTATATTTGTAGTTTTGTGAGGCTCCTTAACTGAGACCTCTAAATACCTCATGAGGTGACAAATCCAAGGATTTTATCAAATGGAGCCGTGGAAGTTAGGAGTATCAAGGTACCAAAACTGCATGATGTGAAAAGAAAACAGGAAAGCAAAATGACTGGAAGTGATGGTTCGGCATTTAATCATTTAATCCTAATTAGTGCATCTAATCCCATGAATCTCAATTTAAAATCTGATCCAAGCCCAAATTTATTACATTTTAGGGCTGACCTTTTCCATTCCTCTTTCAGACATTTGTCTCGTTTCCTCAACACGTCCCATAGCGAACACAAAACCAGCTGTCACACTTGTGACATTTTAAGGTTGTTGGTGGCTTGAATTCATGGGCTACATGATAGCTCTAAATCTGACTCAAGAGGTCTGTCATTAGAAAAATCTGACAAATCTCAGTCCTTCCAGAGAATCTTTTTGGCGCAAAGATGAAAGGATGGCCTCCATCGTTGTTCAGACGGAGGTAGAGTTATGGAGAGCAGCAAGCACTCTCTAAAAATAATGCAGTGGAAATGCTACGGATTGCAGAGCTGCCATCGGCAGACTTGTGATTATTTAGGAATACAACAGTGTCACACCATCGCTTCCACTCTTCCCATCATCTAATAGATATTTATGCACCAAACGTCAAAACTTTCCATTCCACCCAGAATGAAGGCATTAAAGACATGGGATTTTCATCTCTCTTATATTCTCCTTTCCTACCACTATGGAAACTCACAATTTATGACATCTTCCCTGGTTTTCTCTCCATTTTGAAATCTGAATAAACAAAGTATGTCTGGAGTAAGAAATATATGCTAGACTCCAAGTTAAACAATTTGTTTAACAAAGAAAATGAGGGTTACAACGTTATTACAAATTACATATAAATAACACCTTTATTAGGTCAAGCAGAAGGGGAGAAATGAAGCTAGCCGTTAAAACTCACTGGCTTTATCATGCAAATAGCCTTGGGGAAAAATAACTCAAGCAAAAAAACGTGCATTTTAAAAACATTATTTCGACTGCAACTAAGTTTTATTTAAAAATTCTATAAATAAGATCAAGAAAACTGAGATCAAGAAAAGGATTGTTGTCCCTTTCTTTTTTTTTAATGCTACTTGTGAAGCTGAGTATCTACAGGCCTGGCAAAAGGAAATCCTTCACATAATGTATTAAAGTAAAGATAAAAGTTTCCCCTGACATTAAGTCTAGTCGTGTCCGACTCCAGGGGGTGGTGCTCATCCTCATTTCTAAGCCAAAGAGCCGGCGTTGTCTTTAGACACCTCCAAGGTCTTGTGGCCAGCATGACTGCATGGAGTGTCGTTACCTTCACGCACAAGCGGTACCCATTGATCTACGCACATTTGCATGTTTTCGAACTGCTAGGTTGGCAGAAGCTGGTCTGACAGCAGGAGTTCACCCCCTTCCCGGGATTCGAACTGCCGACCTTTCGGTCAGCAAGTTCAGAAGTTCAGCAGTTTAACCACTGCGCCACCAGAGCCCCCACATAATGTATTACTACGCATATTATTACCACAGGCAATCACTCGTGGCTGAGCATGACTGTCTACGAGAGATAGTCTTGGTGGTAGGCCCTTAGATGACAGAGAAGACCTAGTCTTGATCCATATGGTCCTTCACACTGAGAACATAGATTTCCAGGTGGAAGGCAGTCATGACAAGGATTTGCTTGATATGCCTTTCACTTGGCACGTTTCTTCCTTGTGCTCTCTATTTGTGCCTCCTCGTAATACAAAGAACTATTCTCAACTCAATGTATGTGACATTGAACATTTATTAAACTGTGAGTTTTAAACAAGCCTCAAAAGAGAACTTTTCTGAAAGCTAATCTCTGACATTCAGATTAATAGCTTTGAATTTGCAAGTTTTGACTGGCCACAATGGCTTGAACAACAATTATAAAATCCCTTAAAGTTCCACACAAAATCCAGAGACTGCAAATATAATGTTAATGTTTGCAATAAAACATACACTTAAAATGCAGGCATGAAGCTTTCTGGCCTAAGAAGGCCACACTTTCAAAATATTTATTTATAGGCCACCTTTGCAGAACCTTGTGCTGAAGGATTTTCATAGACTTGATTAGACTGACATCTAGTGGGCAAAAACTAATTTCTATACAAAGCCTTCAGACCCTAAGATTAATTTGGTAGTGCACTCAGCCCTTGGTATCTGCTGAAGTTAGGTTCTGGGATATGGAGGGCTGTGTCAATGCCCAAATGGAGGGCAAGATGAATAGATCAAACTACCTCTCAAACATTTTTTAAAGGGCATAATATTCTTTCAGAATTCTTGTTTTTAATAACTGAAATACTGTTTTATATCACTGATGGGGTCCCCTTAGCTGAATGTTGGGATCACAAGAAATTTGGCAACAGTAAACAATTTTTGAATGCTACCTATTTACATAACTCTGCTAGCAACAACGTGAAGTTTACAGCAGACTATACAGAAAATGCTTCCGTTGCACTTCACAAAAGTGAAAAATAGCCTGTTTAGTAAGCCTTGGAAATACCCATTATTCTTTGGTTTTTACACCTATTTTATATATCCATGCCAATCATGCAGTTATGATAACTGCTATCTATAAAGCATGGAGGCTATATGCAGTGCAGACTCACATCAAGCTAACTTTATGAATTGGCTGATACAATAATAATGAGTAACCCATGGCTCCACAGGTGTTGTTGGACCACAGCTCCCATCATCTCCATCTGGCAAGCCAACAATGAGGAGTTGTAAACTGACAACATATGGAGGGCCACATGTTGACCATGCCAAGTAGAAGAAAATTCAAAAGTGGGTTTACTTTCAAATAACTAAGAAGAAATAGATGAAACAAAGCATGTTGAGGATTTTTACCGGGCAAATGCAAAGTCAGATGGATTATTCTGCAGACCCACAAGTTATACTTTACAGTGAATCATAAGGTATCACTCTGAAACATGGAAAATGTTTTTAAAAATTGGATTGACTATGTTTGACTACCTATCAAAGTACTAATGTAAATGGGTAGCATAACAAGCACTAGATATACGTTTAAGACAGACTTTGGAAAAGTTTCTTGCTCATACTTCAAAAAGCAACAGTTCCAAGGTCTGAACTTGGAAAAACAAAAACGATACTTTTTAGCAGAAGTTCCATTCAACCTTTCTTGATTATCCATTAGTTTTAGCCACTGATACAACTGAAACATATTGTTCCTATAGCCAAACGATATATACCTGCTTTATTTTGGAGGCAAGGTTTTCTGGTAGTTTTGTTCTCAGTTGGTTTGTCTCTTTGAATGTAAGTGGAAATCCTTTGAGGAAAACCAAGTCTGGCATTATCACTAAACCAGGAACTTCTTTGTCTGTTGTCTGTAAAAAAGGAAATTTCTTAACATGGACAATATGATTGCTCAAAACAACTTGACAAATATTGATTTCTCATTTTATCCCTGAATCTAAAACATTCTAGTTCTAAATAGAAACATAATATCAATTAAGAATTTCTATGAATTTCTAAACCTAGAAACATAAGAGCTATGCGTCGATGTATGTTCATCTAGCTGTCAGTTTGTCTGACTTATGTTTCTCTCTCTCTCTCTCAAAAGTTTGGATATTGGCTAGCTTCTGAGAAGCTTACATCCTCGTTTTCCAGTGAATAAGCTGGTATAATTTAAAAGGTACATACCAAATAACCCCTCCACACTGCTTGCCTCTTGTTCTCCTTTAGGATCTGAGAATGGGCATCTTCAGCTGGAAGAGTAAGGAATTCAAACCACAAGTCACTTTCTCATATTCTATATTTAGTAAGCCTCAAGGCTAAGGAAAGAAACATTTGCACCCAGGAAATCCACTACTTGACCCTAGGGTCTCTTTTGCACAATAATTACGGTATGTCACTTTAATGCCACATTAATTGCCATAGCTCCACTGTAGTGATTCCTGAATTATTTACTTAGGTGACATACTGAGAATTCTCTGCTATGGAGCTCTAGCCCCTCACTAAACTACAAATCCTAGAATCCTACAAGATGCAGCCAGGGCAGTTATATTGGTGGTGGTTGTTTATTTGTTCAGTCACTTCCAACTCTTCGTGACCTCATGGACCAGCCCACGCCATAGTTCTCCATCAGCCGTGACCACCCCCAGCTCTTTCAAAGTCAAACCAGTCACTTCAAGGATACCATCCATCCATCTTGCCCTTGGTTGGCCCTTTTTCCTTCCATTTTCCTGTTAAGTTGCTATCCATGTGCTATAACTATGGGGGGTGAAAAGGCTCCAGGAACAGGCAATGTGTGACTCTTTAGATGTTGCTGGACTGCAACTCTCACCAGCCCTAACTAGCATAAAAGAATAATGGGAATTGTAATCCAGTACCCACTTCTGGACGATACCATGTTAGCTTCTGATTACATTAAGAGTATGAGACCCAAGGATGTATCTGATCTGTTAGTAGATAGTGCCAATATAGGCTGAACAACCCTTATTCAGAATGCTAAAATAGGAATTTTTCCAGTGAGCAGCTGAAATAGTCACACCTTTGCTTTCTGATGGCACACTGTACTTATTCTTTTTTTCTGAAATCCAAAACTGTATTTCTCCCAAGCACTTTGGATAATGGATACTCAATTTGTATTTCCATTAATAGATGGACAAATTTACTAGCAACACATTAAGATGCCTCTTTAAAAGAGTATGAATTCCTGGAAGAGCTAGCAGTTTAGGGGTCGAACATCATTGTGAAGAGGGAGTATTAAAAACAACTATCTTCAAATGGATGCATAAGTATTTATTTTAATGGCATAATTTCAAATAAGTGACACAATACATTTGCTTCATTGTAGAAGTAGCTGTGTGACAGAGGGAATAGAAGGGTTCCCGTGTTGCCCAAGCATGCATACCCTCTATCCTCCTTCTATAGATTTAAGAAACAATGGTCCTTTAAATACAACAATCTGTGCATGATTGATGCATAATTCAATGTTACTTTTATTAGAATGGCATCATCCCACTGATATTTTTGCATAAAATCTTAAGGGTGGGCACCTAATTACTACGTGTTCCACTTTTGTCCACGCAGAAGTAGACCAAATGCCTTGACCATTTAGGAAGCGATTATTTTTAGGATACATTCTCCTCTGGCTATGTATTCAATGACATCCTTTAATAATCATCACAAGACGACAAATATGCCCTACAAATTGGTATGAAGTAGTAGTCTACAGCAAAACCTAACCCTCCTGTTTTCAGACAGGAGGAGGAGATTAAAACAGATCCTTACCTTCTTTAGAACTGTCGAAAACAACTACAGTAACATTGGTAGAAGGGTTTTTTGGCTTTGGAACAGAGAAGAACTTGTTGGCAGATCTCAACAGGGGATAGACAGATGGCAGGTCTTTGAGAGTGATGTTGCTTAACAAGGCAGGATCCAAGACAAGCATTGGCACTTTGATGCAGTGTGTCAGTAAACACTCCAGTTGCTTCTCACTGCAATCAAGAGAGAAGTCGACAGCATATTCATTACTCCCAGGTTCAAAATCATTACATGACTACTTACCTCAGTCAATGTTTGATTAAAGAATAACCCCCAAATAAAGTACAACTACTGCTTCTTTTTAAACAAAGGGTGGATCTGCACTGTAGAATTAATGCAGTTTGACACCACTTTAACTGCCATGGCTCAATGTTATGGGATCCTGGGAGCTGTAGCTTGTTGAGGCACCAGCACTCTTTGGCAGAGAAGGCTAAAGCCCTTGTTAAACTAAAACTCCCAATTCTGAATATCTCACCTAAGCCAATTCCCTAACATTGATTGAGCCATGATAGATAACAAGGTGTCAAACTGCATTAATTCTACAAGATGTATCCTTAGTTTTTTCCAAGTGCAATCAAGTTTTTATTTTGAAAAGTCTGATCACACAAGATTATGTTGCTGTTATGTACCTTCACATTATTTCCAACTTATAGCAATCCTAAAGTGAACCAATCATAGTGTTTTCTTAGCAAAGTTTATCTTTCACTTTCTCTGAGGCTGAGAGTATGTGACTTGCTCAACATCGCCGAGTGTTTTTCAAGGTTGAGTGAGGATTTGAACCCAGGTCTTCAGAGTCCGTAATCCAATGTTCAAACCACGACACCACACGGGCTCTCTATATGTTATATAAAGCATGTTTGTTTTGATCAAAAATGGAGTCCAAATATAAATGGATTAGGAGGTAAAGTGTGTACCCTCCGGCATGAACATTATTTAGGTAGACACATAAGAAGTGTAAACATGTATGCTACAGTTGGACAAAAGAATCAATGTAATGTTCAGAATGCTAAATAGTCTATGCACTAGTTTTTAAGCAAGATGGGTTGTAGAAAAAGCTCCAAAAAGTATATTGTCATTATCTTACCTTTTCTTAGTTGGTTCTGTTACATTCTTTCCAAGAATTTCCCTGAAGAAAAAGAAAATTTAGTTACTATAACAAAGGCAATTCATTACAAAAATGAAATTGTGTTGTCGAAGGCTTTCGTGGCCAGAATCACTGGGTTACTGTGAGTTTTCCGGGCTGTATGGCCATGTTCCAGAAGCATTATTTCCTAAAGAGAAACAAAACAAACACTGCTGGAGAAATTTTATTTCCACTTTCTTCTAGGTTGTTTTCTGGACTTCAAAAAAAGACACAACTCAATTAAAGCAATCTATGTGTCAATGTGCTTTCAAGGTCTGTAGTCCTTGTGGAGAACTGCTGCCACTCTATAAAGAGGTTGATTGCTTTAAGTGTGGATAGATATACTCTATGTGTATTCAGAGAATGCTACTTAATATAACAAACACAGCCAATTGCGAAAGCACAAATTATCTTAACTGCAACAACTGTTTGTCAGGATTTTTAACAACACAATGTTCTTGCTATCTGATCTCAAATTGATAAAACACAGAAGATAAAAGGAACTGAAGAACAAAGGAAGCAAGTCCCTGTTTCTATCTTCTTACGATGTTCAACATGTTTTGAAATTTTATTTTATATTTGAAAACATGGTTAGCTAGACGATCCCTATGGGAAAAAAATTAAGAAAGTTCATTTAAGGTAGGAGCAAGAAACAAACCCCAGGAAACCAGACCAAGGGTGATAGTAATTTAATTTCTAACACCAATCAAAATTTTGTATAAAAATAGACAAGATGAACCAAAAATAAGGAGAAGTTGAAAGAAGACAGTTTTTTGGGACAGCTTCTCAAACTGGGTCATGGTGAACTCCCCTGAGTCAAGGAAAAGGAAAAAAAACAAGTAACATTTCCTCAGAATAGTGACATTTTCTTCTTGGTTACAAGATGATCTGGTTCTAAATGAGTTAGTAAGATTTTGTGCTCAGCAAGCATGAAAGAACATGCTTTGTTAGCATTTCTTCAGTAACCACAATGTAACAGGCATTAAATAAAATACAAAGTAAACACTCTAGTCTCACAAGGATGTGGAACTGCTTCCCTCATAGTATTCCCCTACTAATCGTAGTGTCAGAAGCAACTTGAGAAACTACAAGTCGCTTCTGGTGTGAGAGAATTGGTCATCTGCAAGGACGTTGCCCAGGGGATGCCTGGATTTTTTGATGTTTTACCAATCCTTGTGGGAGGCTTCTCTCACGTCCCCGCATTGGGAGCTGGAGCTGACAGAGGGAGCTCATCCGCGCTCTCTCCAGATTTGAACCTATCACCTGTCGGTCTTCAGTCCTGCCGGCACATGGGTTTATGTTGTTATGACTGTGTTTGTTTGTATTTTATTCATTGATTTTAATTGTGTCTTTGTTTTTGAGCTTGTCCCTTTGTAAGCCGCCCCGAGTCCCTTGAGGAGATGGTTGGCGGGGTATAAAAATAAAGTTGTTGTTATTATTATTATTATTATTATTATCATTATTATTATCATTATTATTATCCCACTGCGCCACCAGGGGCTCCGATCATAATGGCTAGGGTGAAATGAAGTGGAGTTCAAAGTATTTGGAGGGCCTGATGCTGCCCAAAATTGTAACTTTATGGCAATGAGCTGTTGGGTCCTTCGATTCTCCAATCCTATTGTACAAAACACAAAGAAGGTGTTTAACCCACCAAACTCCTGCTAGCTGCTAGCTCTCCATAACCAATGTTTTTGAAATGTCCAATGTGCAAAATATAGAGGAATACACACACTGTCACATTCATCACACATTTGTTTTTTCAGAAAATCTCTCAAATATGACGTCAATTTCTGTTCCCAATATGAGAGGGACTTCAAAGAAAAGAGATGTTTTTATGCACTGGGGTAAAGGGCCAGGATCATAAAAACCTCCTTGAGAAATAAACGTTTTTGATTTTCTGCTGCAAGCAAGCAAGGACAGCCTGTCATATTGTGCTCCCAGAGGGAGATTCTTACCTCATTATTCTCTGTTCTTCCTCCATCTGTTTCCTCACTTGTTGCAACTCCCTGATCAACGCAACATCTGTGCCATTCACCCAGGTGTACACCACATCAATGGGCATAGGCAAGCAAAGCCTAAAGAAATCAAAGAGGAACCTGATCAGCATGCCCATTTTAAATCAGGTAGTGTTTTCCAACAGAATAAATGATATGCTATCACAAGGAGTAAAGAACAACCAATGGAATACGGACATGAAAGATATTTGACATAGTTAAATCATTCACTTAAGGTTCCTGGTTCTTCACCAGTTTTTGATCTTTATCCATGAGTTTCAGTTGCAACAGCTGAAGAGTACAGGCAGTCCCCAAGTTACAAACATCTGATTTACAAACAACTCATAGTTAAGAATGAGGGTGACAACAGGAAGTGAGGGAAATCTACCCCAAGGAAAGACAACTCACTCCTGGAAGAGTTATCACGGGGAAAAGGTGTCTCAACTGAAGCTCTGTCACCAATCCTTTTCATATCAAGCCTTTTTTTCAAAATCCAATTCTTACAGGGACAGAAAGTGAGCAAAACCTTCTGAACAGGGGCACAAATAGCAAAACAAACACCACAGGGGTGTTAACCTTTCGCTATGCTATCCAAAGCTTTTATTTTTATATACATACATACATACATATATATAAATATATAAATGTACCTGTTCCAACTTCCAAACAAACTCAGCTTAAGAGCAAACCTACAGAACATATCTACATATCTTGTTCGTAACTTGGGGACTGCCTATATACACTTGGAATTTGTCTCACTCCATTTTTCATCTACAGCTAGAAAGCTTCTTAATCCTCATCAAGCAGACTGGATTTTTTTTTTAAAAAAAAAAAAACCTCTTGGTTTGAATGATTTAATCATGAGTATTTGCTGACCCAATGAGAATTCCAGTCTATTGCAGGGTATAAAAATACTCCATGTTGTTTTCGAGCGCAGAGTGATATTTCACCACCCTCAAAGACTCCCAGCCCCAGAATACATCTCACATGAGATTGAATACTTGTTTGGAATTGATGTTAGCAAAACAAAAACTCCTTGTAACTAACGTAACTTCTGTGTTTTAAAAATACAATTCATCTGTTTTCAAATTGAATATAACAAAAGCTGAGACTCAGGGATATTGTTTACAACTCTTCAGATGACAATATCATAAAATGCCTATCATATAAAATGTGTCAATTCCGCTATGAAGTTTTATTCTAGGGAATAAAATCTCTCATCCGTATGAATGAGAGTTACAATTCATCTCCTTGTGGCTGTTTTTCTTTCTTTCTGATAGCCTTAACTTAATTACTTTTCAAATATTTTGTGTCTATTTATTTCTTTACTTATTTCATTTCTAACCCCGCCTTTCTCATCCCTGTGCACTTAAGAGGGGACTCAAAGCGGCTTACAAATCCGGCAAAAATTTAATACCTCACAGGTAAACAATAAAACAGATTTCATAAAAAATATAAACACTCTATGCACATAAGGAATTAGAACTCATAATCATCTATTAAAACAGATTAAAAACCACATATAAAATGCCGAGTCATAATCTCATATCTCATAATACTCTTTCAGATAACAATCCACCACAGTGGACAAAGAATATGAAGAAGGCTAGCAGGTAGACATGAGCAACTGATGAGGGATGGACCCAATTTTTGATCCACTGCAATCTTTTCACCTTGCCTAAAGCGCCTCTGCTAAAGAATCTTAATCTTAACAGAAAGTATCAGATAGCCCCTAAGTAAAGCCAGACAATATAGGTTTCCCAAAGGATCGGGCATGCCATCACAAATATAATATGTACCCAGAACTTGATGTAATTTACCACACATTTTGAGCTGAATCTTTCACTTATGTCACTGCACTGCAATTATTGGCCTACAGCGTAGATATAATTTTCACAATTGAAAGGCCCTTGCCTTCAGCACTTACTTGTCTGATACTACGGAATATAAATCCGGTTCCTTTGATTATACAAAAATTATATATGCATTATATGGTTACTCTGCTGCTCAAAATTCTTAACACTCCAAAACAGGCATTTCTTTTAATTACTGAAGAACAGATATTTTTCTATAGTCAGAAAATTAAATCTGCACAGCTATATAAAGTAAAGGCTCACTTTGGCCAAATAACAACTGGGTTTTGTTTTTTTCCAAATGCTGATCCCAGCTAGAAAACAGCTCAAGTTAAATATGGAATCCCTGGTGAATGTAATTTTAGTTAAGGAAAATTAAATGTTTATTGTCTCTGTCCAATCCTTCAAATGCTGGCAAACCCTTCTAGGCTGTTTAAGCATACAAATTAATTTTACCTAATTTCTTTTTAATCCAACTGGTTTACACAAAGAGACTGGCAGAGATGCATGACAGAGAAAACAATTGCAAATTCCTTTCACTCTGTCAGTGGCTTTAAATACCGTTAGGGCTCATGAGGCGCCACTGGCAGATATGTGTGGAAGGAAAGCTCTTAAGCAGCTCAACTCTTCCCTCTTCTGGATAAAAGCATCCGTCATTTCTTCGGAGCTTCTCAGAGTTTGTTGCACTTCCAGCATTTTCAGTGGTGAGTTGTGCGCAGGGAAGTAAGGGACATAAACCTTTTGAAATTCCATTTTCACCAATGTAAATACATCATTTTACGATTTTTCTCCTCACTGCAGAGAATAATTGAAAACTGTACACTTTTCAAAGACTATTTCAAATGCAAGTAGGTTTTGTTTTGCACAGAAAACAAAAAAATACCCTGAACCATTAAGCTACAAAATGTTCTGTAATTTGTTTTTAATCCAACTGGTTTGTAGAAAATATGCAGCCAATACTGTCATTTGTACATCACTCTAAGTGTTATAGACTGGGTCAATTCAGAGAAAAAAAGCAAGACAAAAATATAAGTATAACAACAACAACAAGAATTTGCAGACTCCCTAAGGGTTCTCATATAGTGATATAATCGTACTGAGTTTGCTAGAAAAGGTAAAGGTTTCCCCTGACGTTAAGTCTAGTCGTGTCCGACTGGGGGGGTGGGTGGTGGGTGGATGCTCATCTCCATTTCTAAGATGAAGAGCTGGCATTGTCTGTACACACCTCCAAGATTATGTGGCCAGCATAACTGCATGGAACATTGTTACTTTCCCACCGTAGGAGTACCTATTTATCTATTCACATTTGCATGTTTTTGAACTACTAGGTTGGCAGAAGCTGGGCCTAACAGCAGGGGGTCATCCCGTTCCCCAGATTCAAACCACTGACCTTTTGGTCAGCAAGTTAAGCGGTTTAACCCACTGTGCCACCAAGGTTTGCTAGTTACAGGAAAAAAGAACAAAGTTTTATCTTCCATTTTGAAAACCTACAACCCCTCTGTAAAAATCCAAATTTTGTACAAAAATGAACAAAAAATCCCTTGCCATTCTATATAATATACTATCGTATTAAGACTTTGGAAGGAGGGCTTTCCCCTATTAAATATTCCTGTTTCAAGAACTATTGTCACTACGTTTAAGAAGAACAGCAAAACATCAAAAGCCAAAATGCAAACACAGTAAAGACAATACACTGAGAAGAGGAAGTCCTAATAGATAAAGCTAAAATGTACATACTGTTAACCATCTCTTGGCATTGTGGTTTATAATGATAGTACTGTATACTCTGTTAGATAGCAGACTCTGAGCTATCAACCTCCATGACAATATGATTTATATCCTTCCTTCTCATACAATATGCTTAAGGTGATTTACATCAAAATGGCAAAGGCAACAGAGTAATTGCTCATAAATCTTGTTTGTTATTGGCCAAATTTGAACAGAGAGAGGAGGCACAATTTATCATTAACCACAATCAGATGCTCTGAATCTCCATTTGGGTGTGAAATAAAGCAAATGAGACTCGGACTTGTTCTAGCCCATTGATCTAACAAGTAGACACAATGTGTTACTGAAGTTGAATATCAAGCTGGTTATTTATTCACATTATTGATCTACGAATGCTACTACAGCTATTAGTGGTACTAGTATCATTAATCCTGTCTGGAAAAAAAGCATAATGTTGCTAACAAGCCACACTAAAACAGATAAATTAAAAACACATATCATGTCATCAATTTGCTTGTCAATTTATGGTTTTCTTAGGGAAGGAATATTCAGAGGTGGTTCTGCCAGTAACTTTGAAGTACTGCTTACAGTACCTGGGATTCCTTAGCAAACTCTGATCCAAGCAGTAACCAGGATTAACCTTGTTGAATTTCCAAGATCACAGTATTTGGTGCCTTGGTTTAGGGTATCTAAAACATCAGTTTGAAAGCCAGCATGGTGTAGTGAGTGATCTGAGCACTGGATTACAATTTTGAAGACAAGGATTCAAATCCCCACTCAGCCATGAAAAAACACTAGATGACCTGTACCAGTCACATACTTTCAGCCTCAGAGGAAGACAAGGCAAACACCACTCCTTGCACATATCTTGCCAAAAATACCAAATGATGTGTTATTTGGCTGAGGAATATTGTAAGTTGGAAATGATTTAAAGGCACAGAGCAACCAAAAAAAAAGCCACCAATTGAAATTTATTGTTTCTAACTGTAGGGAGCCAGTTAAATGACTGATAGAAAGAATCCCACAATTAGGGTACCATCATAGAGGAAATCTTGCCATACACAGTAGTCCTATGCAAGACACTAATCTCAGCACTCAAAGCAGAGCTTTCTTAATTGGCCTTAAACTGGGATTGGATTAGTACTAGATCCAGTTTTGGCTGTGACCATCAGGATAGTGTGGGAGACTGAGTTTGAAGTCCCTCTTTGACATGAAGAGCACTCCATACCTTTGGGTTAGTTACTACAGCCAAGGATGGGCAGACTGCAGCTTGCAGGCCACATGTAGCCTCCTTATTCCACATTTGTAATCCTTGACGTCTACCACCAATCCCCCCGCAAAAAATAAAAATTCAACAAACACATGAAAACACACCAAAAGATCCTACCCAGACAGCCAGAAATTCTCCGAAATACCCCCATTGTCTTCTACAGTTCCTCCCAAATTCAAGTCCGGAAATGACTACAGATGAAAATACCCTAAAGGCTCCAAATGTTGTCT